ATCAGCTTTTCCACAATTTCTGCCAAGATTCTCTCTAGTGGGATTGCAACGGCTTTTTTCTGCGAGCTCGATCTTGCCTAGAGCCCTCGATTTTGGTTTGAGCTCGATTCTGACTCGAGCTCTCGATCTTGGATCAAGCTCGATTCTGACTCGAGCTCTTGAATTGATTCGGGGTCAATGTTGGTTGATCTTTGGATCATAAGCATGATCTCGATAACGATGTCGAACTCGACATGGATTGGCCCCTCAGGTTCGAGGCTTGTTTGTTCCATTTTCAGAATCTCACTTCGATCGATCATCGTTCGAACTTGATCGGACGTGCGAAGACCGAAATCTATTTCGACCGTATACAATATGATTCCTTATTTAAAATGCTAATTACGTCTATTTTTTAATATCTGAGAAGTAATTTTTGTATTTGCAAATTCAAAATACCTATTAAGTTGACCCGAATAAACTCAAATAAATCGAATAAACATTCCTAACAAATTCCATATTAGTCATTACAAGGTATACATTAAAAGAAATTATGGCATGCGCTACCTTCAAATTCTAAATCCGCCTCTGGTTGTACGGTTGAGCAACATTAAGGGCGCTGCCGATTCAAGTGTAACGCTTAGCAAGAAAAAGTGTTGGCCTCATATTAAAGAAGAAAAGAAATCGTAGGTGTGAGATGCTGACAATTATTAGTGTGAATACAAAGAAAACAGTAGGAAAAAATAAAGAAAAAGAATCACAGATTGATAACAATGTAACATTGACACCAACTGGCAAAAATATCTGACCCCATTTCAGGAAAAAAACGTTGTAGAAAGTAACAAACTAAGAAAGCAAAAAGTGAAAGTAGAAATAGTACTAAGTCTTACAAAATTAAAATGCAAAAACTCCATCACCACAACACTTAGAAAGTAATATACCAAAAAATTTTATATGTACGGTTCAAAGATTAATACACAATCACACAGATACAAATATGCAAAAGAATAAAGAATTTGCCGATCTTAAATAGACAACGAGAAAAATTGCAAACTTGAAAAGGCAGGGAGGTTAGGTTGAAAAAATACTTGAGACAGTGAGAATCGATGTAGGAGTTTTGTTCTAAAAAGGAATATTTTAAGAATAAAATAGTAAAATTCTTGGTCAAACTTAAAGTGCTTATAAGCTAAAAATTCATAAGCGGTGAGTGACCAGCTTTTTGTTTTTGACTTATAAGCACTTTTAACTTTACCTAACGTGTAGATAAGCCGAAAAGGCTTATTAAGCTAATTTGATCAGTTTATAAGCTTAGCCAAACACCCTCCTTGCAAGATGGCCGATGTCACCACCATGTTAAAACCCCCAAATTTCTCCGCCACTACCACAAG